GCAGAAGTTGGTAAAGATCAACACAAGAATCAAGTACATCAATACATGGGGCTTTTAAATGAAGAACTTCAAGGAGGTCCCACCCCTTTCTACGGAGGTCTCATGCCCTTCTGCACCAGATATATTTGAATTTCAGGCACAGGGAACTCTTTTGAATCCTGCAGGCCCTTCCCTCAGCTTCGGCCATTGCAGCATGGCCCTATTGGCTTCTACAAGCATCTAAATGGAAAAGAAATCTTTTTTTCTGTTTTTGTTTACCTAGGGCTTAGGAGCTCATAGTAGTTTGCCAGTTTTCTGCAAAGAATTCCACTTCATTTTGAGGCCAGCTGCAGGGACTTTGTAGTCCTGTAATCACATCTTCCTAGACAGCCATGCCAACAATTGTGCCAAGCAGCCCCTGAGCCGTGATTACCCCGAAATGATTATTTGTGGGTTTGTCATTCATTTCCTAGAACTGGCTCTTCTTGGCATCTCCCCACCCCATGTTGTTCTGTGTGAGCTGCAGCTGCATGGTTACAGCTTCCATCTCCCCTCGACGGGTATTCATCGTGATTATATTAAGGGGAAATCCAGTGAATTTTTTTTCTTTACTCAGTGGGCAATTACAATAACAGGGCATAATAGAACGTGGTGTGAGGGAGTTGAAACGCCGTAGGGAAAGGTTAGAGCTGAGTACAGAGTTTAATAAGGATATCTATAGCTGGGCGGTGATTTGCAAATGTGTAATTCTTGCTTTTGCTTCTCTTTTGAAACATTAGCCCGAGAGGATTGAGAATCAAATGTGAGGTGACAACTCAGCATTGTTGATTGGAAAAGTCCAGACCAAGGGATCTGGATTTGCAAGATAGTTCTTAGAGATCCTTTCTGGTTGTTAAACAGGAAAGAATGACTGGAGTATGTAGGACATGCAGTTGTCAAGGCACAAAAACATGAACTTCTCTCCTAGGAAACACTGATATGTTATCAAGAAACTTTAAGGTTTGTGGGAGCAGCAGGAGACACAAAGTTGGTGATGATGACTTTCTTTCATATTTCATATTTCCGAGGCATCCATCTACTCTGTTAGTCTCAGTGATAAGTTCTACTCATAAAGTGTTCCAGACCTGCCAGTACTACCTTTCTCTCCTAGGCTTCAGGATCTAACATGAAAACATGTATTTCTAAGCCCTGGACCCTGGTTCCGCAGATGAGAAAGATTTCTGGTTGTCAGTCTGTTTGGATTGTAGGTGCCTGGATTAGCACTCTTTCTGGTCACCCAATGAAGCAAGTTATGAATGTTTGCTTGTATTCTCTCTCTGGGGGAATCTCCAAATCATTATTCTATGTATTTTTTCAAGAGTTTATAGGTTTCGCTTCCATGTGTACATAGCTGTATGAAGATTTCATCAGGGTAACTTCTGAAGTTTTTAAGAGGTCATGTAGCTGTATGAGCAGCCTGTCTTTCCTTCCTATTATTTCTATGTCTCTGTCTCTGTCTCTCCCCCACACACACTCCTCTCTCTCTCTCTCTCTCTCTCTCTCTCTCTCTCTCTCTCTCTCTCTCTCTCTCTCCCCCCCTCTCTCTGTCTCTTTCTTTCCTGTGTGTGTGTGTCTTTCTTTCCTCTCTCTCTCTCTCTCTCTCTGTGTGTGTGTGTGTGTGTGTACACACTCATACATGGCAGTCAAAGGTCAACTTTGGACTTTGTTCTACAGGAGCCTTCACCTTGGTTTTGGAGACAGGGTCCTTTTCTAGGACATGGGGCTCATCGGTTATGATAGCTTGGATAGACCCACCCGTCTCTCTCTCTCTCTCTCTCTCTCTCTCTCTCTCTCTCTCTCTCTCTCTCTCTCTCTCTCTTTCTCTCTCTCTCCCAGTACTGGAATTATGAGTGAGCCACCACACCATGCATTGGACATGAGGGCTGGAGACTGAACTCGGGTCCTTCTGCTTACAACACAAGCACTTTCTTTATTGAACCATCTCTCCATCCCCACCTCCATGTCTGATTGAGAAACACATATTCACAGAAGCAGAGCAATTTGTCCAAGTTATTGTGTTGGTGAGTGTCTAGGAAGAACGTGAGCCCAAAAGCTCTGATCTCAAAGCTGACAGAGGGTTTCTATTGTATTGGAGTGCATAGTCCTCCCACTGTGCTGCAGACAAGTGACAAGACAGAAAGCTTGCTAAATGTCTCTTGGGAGACGTGAAGAGCAGAGGAAGTCCTGAGTAAACATGTAAGGACGGGGGTAAGTCTTGAGTGAATGTGTAAGGACAGGAGGAAGTTCTGAGTGAATGTATGTTGTTGACATGAGTGTGGATGCGTCAAGGGTCCCAGTGCCTCAGACCCAGGGTGAATGGCAAAGGCTTCCTAGAGTCAAGGCCAGGGAATGACAAAGCTTCTTTCTGGTCTGTGGTGGTATTGTGTTCCCCAAAATATTGTGTACCCTAATAAACTTATCTGGGGTCAGAGAACAGAAAAGCCATTAGATACTTAGGCTAGAAAATGATGGCACTCACGCCTTTAATCCTAGCATTCTAGAGGCAGAAATTCCTCTGGATCTCTGTGAGTTCAAGGCCACATTGGAAACAGCCAGGCATGGTGACACACGCCTTTAATCCCAGGGAGTGATGGCAGAAAGCAAAAAGATATATAAGTCATGAAGACCAGAAACTAGAAGCATTTTGGCTGGTTAAGCTTTCAGGCTTCTAGCAGTAGTTCAGCTGAGATTCATTCTGGAGGCTTCCAGTCTGAGGAAACAGGACCAGCTGAGGAAGTGGCGAGGTGAGGTAGCTGTGGCTTATTCTGCTTCTTTGATCTTCCAGCATTCAACCCAATAACTGGCCTCAGGTTTGATTTTATTAATAAAACCCTTTAAGATTCCTGTTACACTGGTCCATGTGCAGATATTGATAGTGTGCACAGAAAATGTTGATCAGCTTCCTCCTCCTGGATTTTTACAGCCTGCGACTCCTTTTCTACTGAGGCCCTCTATTGTGATTAGCTAAACCTGCCTCCTTGTTCAACTATGTGTAATAAGCTCACCTCCATCGTTCAGATGTATAAAATACACACCACGAGTTTCCAGACTGCTGTTGTTACTGGGTCTCCAGCAGAGCATGCAGCCTACCTGATCCCAGTTTTCTGTACATGAGTCTGAGTGACAGTTATTTCTCATCCCTAGTCATCACTTTGGTCAGTCCCTGAGCCATGAAAGTTGAGGCAAGGATCTTTTTCCTGAACAGAGTAGGGTAGAGAAGTACCCAACAGAAGTAGGGTAGAGAAGGGATGACCAAACGAACCACCAGGAGCATCAATGGGTAGAGAGAGGAGCAGGCAAGCTACAAACATCCTCCTAGAAGTTTCCCATTCACTCCTTCTTTCTAAAGAGGCACAAGTGGATGCTCTGCTCTGCTCACAACTCCTGGAAGTTGCGTTTGTCATGATAGCAATCACAATCTTCCTTTGGATACTGAGCAATAAGTTGTAAATATCTCTATCGGTTGTATTTAGCATTGCCAGAAATAGAGAGCACCCAGAGCTTCCCCGTGCAAAGCAGAACTGAAGCAGGCATGGCGAACAGATTCAGTGAGAATGCTCTGACAGGTGGGGTCCCAGGGTGCATTATTTTCTTTGATAGCTAGTGATATTTTTGAAGTTGCATTTTCTTCCAGACACACTTTCTTTCTTATAATATATTCCCCTTTTGCCTTTAGCTGACTTACTCGGGATGTGATTATAACCAGAGTTTCCAACCAAAACATGCTGACTTTATTGAGTTTTCCCCACTGGGCCATTGGTGCTGGTGCTAGTGCAATTAAATATGATACTTTAGGGGTGAGTGTGTGTGTATATGTGTATGTGTGTGTGCATGCATGCACGTGTGTTTCAGATAGTTGGCATTTGCAGTAGGTACTCAGTTAATTTACATTCTGTTGAATAGAATTGAATTATGAAGTCATTATACTGCCTGTTCTCTGCACCTCCTGACCTCTGTGCTTCAAGTGAAATCTCAAAGGTAAGAGCAATATTTCTTCCATATAATTCTTTTCAATGTTCCATCCCTAATTCCTAGGAAAGTGTCTGACATGTAATGATCTAACTTGCTGTTTGTTACTGAGTGAATGATTGAGGTAGATCCAGAAAAACAAAAACAGATAATTAACCATAAATCTTGGGCTTTAGAAGTTACCCCAATGAAATCTTTAGGAATTTTGAGTACAGATGTATTTTCAGTGATTTCTACTGGAGCTTCTCCGATAGATCATGAAAGACTTAGTTAATTTAATTAGGGTGAATTACAACAAAATTTCAAAAGTTATAAAAGGCATATGACTTAAATGAAATTATGTAATAACAATAGAAGAAAGATCCTAACATTCTTATTGTAATATCTACGGTGATCTGCTTACAAGTTTAAGTTGCTTTGCATTTTCTTTGATTTTTATATTAAATGAAATTAGTTCATACTTAATAAAATTAAATACCTTAAAATCCAGTCATGTTTCTTAAGCTTGAGTCCATGTTTCCACTAAGACCCCTACCAGCTGCCAGGGTGTCTATTATTTCATTTAAGTAGGGCTTTGAGTAAACAGTATTACCTAAAGCAGAGTGCTGGTAGATACCTAACCAGTTTGTAGAGAAAAAAAAAATCTCCTTGGTACTGTCTGGCAATTCCCATGGTGTAAAGACTCCTGTCATGGCTTAATTTCCAGGTGTTGTTTCAACGATACTGGATTTGTAGATGAAATGGGCACCGTCAGCACTGACGAGGTAGGTGAGCAGGCTTTGACGCCTCATTGCTGACCACATAGATCAAACAAGGCATGTTGTTCCCCGGGTTAATATAGTTCACCATGGCAAACCTTTTCAGAAAATGACCAATAGTGCATGCATATTCGAGCCTCCTCAGGCACTTTTTTTTTCCCCACAGCTACTCAGCTCTGCCACTGCAGTACAAAACCTGCCGTAGACAAACACATACATGAACGATAGAGACACCTTCACCAAAACATTACTTACAAACATATGTGGAAGACAGGTTGCAGCCTTCAAGAGAGCTTGCTCACCCTGCATGAGACCTGCAATGCATTTAAAGCCATAAGTGAGTTCAAATTGAGGTAATAGCTCCTTGGAATTTGGAAAGCTTCTAAAAGATATTGTGAGACCCCAGAGGCAGGCTATGGGCAGCTGTGATTACTGTACTGTCTGTGTGTGGAAGTGTGGGTTAAGGGGAGGCCAAAGCCATTAAAACGAAAGCCAATAAAATGTTTACTCAGTTCCATTGTTTAGGGAACTGGAGTGTGTTTCTATCAACTCTATCGATTCTGTCCCCCTGGAGGGTGTGAGGACTTTGTGGGAAATGTGAAAGCTGGTAAATCCTCTAGGAGTGGGCTCCTCTGGAACCTTTCTAAATGCTTATTTGCATGATACTTATTAATCTTCACAATATGTAGTTTTGAGTGAGGTTAGGCACAATCTCTCTGTCTCTATTGCCTCTGGCTAATTTTCCCCTCACTAAGCAAAGATTCCAAGTTTATCCCTAAGGGACTTGTGCCCTGTGAGAGATCATCCCCGTGGCCAGCACAGAAGCAGAGAGGCTATGGAATTCCTAGTCCTCTATGGAATGTTCTCTGGAACAAAGCAAAAACCAAAGAAATGCTCAGAAAGAGTTGAGTATGGGCAGTCGAACTAAGGCTCCCTTCACCTTCGCCTCACACCTCTCCTTAACCACCAGCTCTCTTGCAACTTAGTGTCAGAACACATAAATGGGGACTGGAAGATGGAGTTCAGTAGTTTTTTCTTACTTAACTCCAACGCTGTCCTTATTTGCTAGGAATTTGATAACAGACAAAGGGATTGGGATGTGAAAGCTCTAATGTGCTTAAGGACTGTTAAAAAGCACTTAACATTCCTCTCTCACCATGTAAGTACTGGATGAACGACTCAGTCATTAACTCGAGGAAGGTTGTCTGGCTCTTCATCCTGCAATACTGACTTGATAACAATAAAACATATATATCAACAAGATGACTCAGCCCTCACCCCTCCTTTAGTACACACACTGAGCTTCAGTAATTCCCCAAGAACCTTTTAGGGTAAATCCTTTTGTGGGTCGTGCTAGAATTTGAGATTCTTGTAACACCCCTTTATTAAGAAACTTTCGCTTTACTGATTTTTATCTTTCTAATCTCTGGAGCCTCTTCATTCCATCTGGAGGGTGCCAACACCCCCCTTGCCTAGAGGGAGCCAATACCCCCACCCCAAGTGCAGAGGCTCCAGAAGGGAGCAAAAGACCCTATGTCATGAATTAGGAAGAATAGGATTAGGGTTTAGATTACTGTGGAGTGACAATCATAACCACAGTTAGAAACATTTCCCTTGCCATGTTCCCTTGGATCTTCAAAGGCATTTCACTTCAAGACCAAACCTGTGATTCATTCTCTCATTGTTAGCAATCCATATAGTAAAACCCCTGTCTTGCTTGTGCCTTGACTGCAAGGCTCAGGAGTCATAAATCCTGAGAATCAGGACTTATTTAATAGAGAGAGTTGCCCCTCTCCCTGAGGTGGAGCAGGTTTGGGCCATGGAGAAGTCTCAGAGAACCCTTAGCTTATCCTAGGGAAAGAGGATATATGTCCTGGAATTCAGCAAGTGTTTTTTTGTTTGTTTGTTTTATTTATTTTTTTTTTTTCTGAAAATCTCTCTGGACAAGATTTGGGAAGGGTATCACTATTTTGACTTGTGAAAAAAGTCTTCTGAAGACCAAAGCTGAATTCAAGTGTTTCTTAGTTTATTTCATAAAATACATATGTGTAAGGCTGCGTTCAAACCAGCTCCATTATGACAAAAATATATTGCTTAACCTGCTAGCAGACTTGAGCCAAGGAGCTTCAAGTTTTAACTTCCTCCTTCGATATACTGACTAATTCTTAAAATGTTAAGAATTAGCTTTAAGCCTACGAGTTTGTTATGATAAAGAACATTCTTGGCTTCAAGCCCACTGAGGTGGCTTACCTCTCTCCTATGACAGAATAAAGGAAATCAGGAAAGTTATCATCAGGAATATTCTTCTTGCCCCACTGAGGGCTCTAGAAAGTGTCCTCACAGAGTTGTCTCAAAACTGAAAGAAAGCTCAGGAGAATAAGACCTTAGGGGCAACCAGCCTACTCTAAGTGCTTGACAGAGATTAGTGAGTTAAGACCTAAGTGTTTTTGTCTGAGGACATGCGGGTGATTGGCAGTAAGTGAAAAGGCCCTAATATGGTTGGAGAGTGCAGCTCTGCTCCTGCCCCACTGTCCTCTGCCCCTTCTTTGGCCATTGGTTCTTGACTCGCTTACTTTTAATTTCTGTGACCCGTGATACATAGGCAACACAGAAAACTAATATTGAAGAACTTTGTCAAAACTATGGAATGTCCCACTGAAGAGAGAGCACTTTGATAAATTCACTAACAGATAGGTTCACACGCAAAATTTCGGTACATATCTTGGACATCTGTTGAAGGTGTGGTTGACCTTTTCTGTTTTAAATTTTAATATTTATTTTTTTATTTTTTTGTGTGTGAGTGTTTTGTTGATATGTATGTTTGTGCATCGCATGCATGCCTAGTAGCCATGGAGGCCAGAAGAGGGTCTAGAATCTCTAGAAACCAAAGTTATAGACACCTGTGAGCCATCACGTGGGTGCTAGGACCTAAACCCTGGTGTTCTGAAATAGCAGTAAATACTCCAACAGCAGAGCCATTGTTCCAACCCCATGTCTGATCTCTTTTGAACCCTTTATTGGTCAGAAATACAAAGTAGTACTTACCCTTTGGAAAAGTCAAACTTGAGAATAATTGTAACAGGTGAGCGTAGTGGACACAAGCCTTCTAACACCAACATGCAGAGGCTGAACCAAGAGAATTCTGGCCACCCTGTTTACATAGTGAGACCCTGTATTCAAAAGAAATGAATGTTTATGAGACCATGGTCTTCTAGTCAGCACCCACATAAGGGTTCCATTGTTATTTTTGCAAATACATGCCTATTGTTGTTATAAGTTGATTGCTCTGTGTGCTCTTTTAATAAACCCATATGATCGTTTAAATCACTGGGCCCTACCTGCTCTGTTGCTTAAGTACAACATGGTCTATGCACCTCAGGAAATGATGGAGTAGTCCTATAATTTCTTGAATGACAGTGATTGTTTCTGTGAGCTCTTAACAACGGAACTCAGATGCTCAGTAGAAAATGCATGTGTTGAAGTAAGAAAGAGGAGTCCATGGTTTTCTTCCAGCCAAACTCACTCCTTTTGTGGGGAGGGTTGGGCAGGTACACTGAGCCCTGTGACTTTAAGGTGCCATGGCAACCAGGTACCGAGCCCTGAGTTGGCAGCAGCCATGGCATCAACACTGAGATGAGATGTACAGTGTGTGTCTCATGTTCAGAAATACCTCCCAATTTGTCATCCTTTGTGCTACCCTCTGCCATCTCAGTTACTCCATCCTCTATTGTATGGTCACTATCTAAACTCCGCTAGCATTGACTTTCAGGCTGCTTATCAGTGCTCTTCTTTCACACATTAAGGATACTCACCAGTTTATTTAGTGGATAAAGGGCCTGCCTAACAGCTTGTGGACCCGAGTTTGAATTCTCAGCACTAGCTTAAATAGGTGTCTCATTCCCATGATAGAAGGCAGAGATAGGTGGGTTCCCAGGCTCATAAGATAGACAGCATAGACAACTGATGAGCTCTAGGTTCAGTGAGTTTTTCTGTTTTAAAAACTAAGATGAAGAGATGAAGAGGAAGACACACGACCCCATCCTCTTGCCTGTACTCATTCCCACATGGGTGTGAGCACCCTCTCCCCAACGACATGCACACACAAGCACACACTCCACAAAAGCACAAAGGAGGGAGTTTTGAGAAAACCAGCTGTGCACCAGCGTTCTCTTCCTGTACTTCCTGGTCTGAGGAAAGAGGCAGAGTCCCAAACACATCTTACCAATGCCATGCATTGCCTGCCGTAATAGACTGCACCTTCGCAAACCATGGCCAAAATAACTCCTTTCTCTCTTAACTTGCTTTAGTTGGCTCATATATAACCGAAATAAGAAAATCACCAATAGAATAACTTTCCTCTCAATCACTCTTTCTCCAACATATTTTTCTCAGAAGATTTAACACCATGAGGTGTTCATTCTCCTGTTATTCTCATTGGCTCCCCTATGTGTTGGTAAAGCTTGGTAAAGTTCTTTATAGATGGGATCTGGGAAGGATATTTAATACAGGAACTGCAAACAATTTGAGTCAGTAAGAGGACAGTTGTTGTATAGGAGCTACAATAGATTGATATGATAGAATAATATTTTCTAGAAAAAGAATTGCAAATACCTCTACGTACAATTAATATATACACTGCAGACACACACATACACATTAATGTTTATGAAAGAAACTATGTATGTGTATGTAAGTTGGAAGCCAGGGTTATTTTTTAATACTACTTGAGGTATTTTAATTTATTAATGGCATTGTTTATTCTGTGTTTTTATCATACCAAATTTGTCAAGTATAAGCCCCCTCAAACTAATTTTGCTATCTTTTCCTTTCCTCAATTATTCTTTGAATATTTTCTTGCTTTCTCATTCAAAATATCTCATCTAGCTCTTCCCAAGCCCTGTTCTTAGAACCAGCCTTTTCTTCTCCTATCAAATATATCTTGGCATCTTTTAAAAGTGGACAATGGTAATTAGAAATCAGAACCTTAAAGCTGAATGTGCTAAGTGCTTAGATTTTGCTAAGAGCTTTCCTGATGCGTGGGCAGTCCTAGGACATGTGTACAGCAGGCTGAATAGTACTTATCAAAAGCCCGCGTTCACCCACACCTCAGAATGTGACTCTACTTGAAAAGAATGTCTGTGTAGATGCAATTACTTTAAATGAGGTCATCTTGGGTTAGGTTGCATTATAAATCCCAAGACTGGCATGTTTATAGGAGAGAGGAGAGAGAGAATGTGTGTGAAAGAGAAATGAGCAGAGAAAGAGATGAGGAGAGAGAGAGATCAGTGAAGGGTCTTTCCAAGTAAGTTTCTACCACAGAAATTTGTGACCAGTGAAGGATCTTTCCAAGTGGGTGGTCATTTTGGAGGGTGAGTTCCTCTCAGTGAATGAATGAATGCCCCTGGAATATCTGAGTGAAAGTTGGTCACCTTGAAGATTCTGGTGTTCTGTTCTGTTTTGTGATGTTCAAGAGTAAACAAAGACCTCATGCTTGCTCAGAAATATTCTATCTCTTGCCTAGACACCCTGTTCTTTGACCAGGGTTTTAGAGTATTTAGAATATTTTATTATTTAGAACAGTTTTCAACATATTCAGATAAACAGGAGCATCCTTCCTTATTTTAGCTATTTTTCCTTATCTATACTAAACCATCTAAATTAGAATTCACTTTCCTCATCAGTATTGGACATATGTGGGTTAAATGTATATTCATAACCTTGTTTTCCTTGACTCCATTCTAACCCATCTGGAGTTAGGGCAAACTTACTGTCCAGCAGTTACAAACACAGCACCATTAAGTCCAACTCTCAGCTTACTTGCTTTCCACTGACTAATCAGGGATGTTTTAGAGGAAACTAGCTATATGTTATGATCACAGTGAAGAGCACAGTACAGGGGATGGAGTTCAACTCACTGACTTCTGGGGCTCTATAACTAGGGCTCTTATAAGCAAGTATTAGCTGTATGGCCTTGTGTACCTTATTTACTTTGTCACTCAGTGCCCTCATCTGTTCAGTGGAAGTTGAAACTTCACTGAATTATAATGACAGCTAAAAGTTAATGAACTTAAAATGTGTTAAGTTCACTATATATATACATATATATGTGCATGTATGTGTATGTGTTCACTATATTATATATATATATTGAGTTCATTATATATATACACATATATATGTATATATGTACACACGTGCACATATATATCTGAGCTTCTTAATGTATTTCTGAGCTATAAGAGTGTCCCATGGCAGGAATCATAGCAGCCAGCAACAGATCCTGTGGCAGGAACAGGAAGCTGAGAGACCACATCTTCAACCACAAGCATGAAGCAGAGAGCTAACTGGAAGAAGGGTGAGGCTATGAACTCTCAGTGATGTACTTTCCCCAGCAGCTCTTAACCTCCACCAACTGCTCCACTAGCTGGTGACCTAGTGTTTAAATGCCTGAGTCTATGGGGTACATTTCCCATTCAAACCACCATGTATGTCTGTATTCTGAAGTTTCATATATTAACTTTGGTGTCACTGGACCCTGATGATGGTACAAGAATACTGAACTCTAGTTCTAGCTCAGCTTCTACCACTAATGGACTGTGTCATTTCAGAACACATCATTTCTTTCTGACTTTTGTTATTTCTCCTCTATTAAGCGAAGGCAGGTGATGGGCATTGAAATGCTTAGTCTGAAAGTTACTTCTAACTTTACAGCTCTAACGTAAGAGAAGCAATGGCCATCTCTGTGTCCTTGTCCCTGCCTGGATAATTGGACATGGCATGTTGCATGGCACAGAGATACCTTATCATAGATTGGCTTAGTGGTCTTATATTACATTACAGTGTACTCAACAATAAATAAAATTTTCAACTTGTACCACTTCTCAGCTTGTCCAGGTGATTCACTTGAGTAGTTAAAGATAGGGAGAAAATTGGGGATGACTAAGAGAAACAAATAGTGAGTTAGTAGTAAAGTTTCATTGATGAAGGACTGACTCAAACATTGTTTGGTGAACAAAGTAAAGGCAGAATTCTTCCTGGACCTTTCCCCCCAATATACAGAAAAACACCCCTTAAAAGACTGCCCCAAATGGCCCATTACATTGGCCCACTATCCTAAACACTGTCCAGCCTCCTTGATGAAGTAGCCTGACCCTCTGACAAGAGTTTCTGCACCATCTCTTCATGCCTTGTTGGTTTAGTTTCACATGATGGATGACATGACACGCAGTCGGCAGGGCTGTTGGTACCTGCTCTGTAAATGACTCTGGTATCATGCCGCCAAAGGCAAAGTGACCATCTCTCAATTCTGGCTGAGCATTTTGACTTCAGATTTTCAAGTATGGAAGTTGTGATTTATGAGACAAAACCCCACATAAATGGCCTTCTATTCCTTTTGACAAGGATAGACTCCCTATATAACCCCCAACTTATGCTTCCTTAGTAGAAAGCATTGTGCTAGCAAGAAGAGAATAGCTTCCCTTCTCTATCACAAAGAGCTAAAGACATTTGCATCAGCAAGTGTTGTGTGGACGAGGTCAGGCTGGTACACCGTGTACCCCTGGAGGATCACACAAACAGTCAGGTCTCAGCTGAGTCATTTCCACTTCTCTATGCTTATTGCCAGGTGCTGCAAAGAGAAGGAAAATGAGAGAGAGGTGCAGGTGGCAGAGTACTTGTCTACTCTACACGAGGTCCTGGATTCAATCAATCCCCCGCACTGCAGAACAAAACAAAAAAGCAACATGCAGTGACTTCTACTGAATGGATACTGCTTTTCTGGTTATGATGGCACATGACTATAAAAGCAGAATTTGGCTGTTGAAGAAGAGCAATTGGATGTTCCAGGTCAGCCTGGTATACATAAGAAAAGCATGCCACCAAACTACTGAGAGAGAGAGAGAGACAGAGAGAGAGAGACAGAGAGAGAGACAGAGAGACAGAGACAGAGACAGAGACAAAGACAGAGACACAGAAGAGAGGAAAGCAGGGTTTTTTGTTTTGTTTTGTTTTGGTTTGGTTTTTTTTTGGGTTTTCGAGACAGGGTTTCTCTGTGTAGCTTTGTGCCTTTCCTGGAACTCACTTTGGAGACCAGGCTGGCCTCGAGCTCACAGAGATCTGCCTGCCTCTGCCTCCCGAGTGCTGGGATTAAAGGTGTGCACCACCACCGCCC